GGAGAAACAAAGTATTTGTAAAGAAGGTAACTTTTAGTGTACAGCTCTCTGATTGCTGCATGGAATTAGGCCGAAAAAGGCATTTCATCAGTGGTGGGTTATTGGTGGGCCTGGCTTGTCTGCGGGAACTTGGCGTGGCTGAATATTATTGGAAGTTAGCAAACACTCAGAAGGAGGGGGGTGAGCATAGTGTTTAACATCTGAAATACCCACCTTTGGAAAATCGTGCAAATGGAAATGTCCCATAGGCAGTGGCCAAATGGATGGCAAGCGTGGTTAGCTAGGTAAATTGGGTCTGGGAGACATTGGTATGCTGAGAGCTTTTGAGAAAATGTGTATTGGGCCAGGTGAAAAATGGAGGTTGAGAACTGCTGAGCTAGGAAACGTTGCCTTCACTGAAGTGAGGATGGTGGCCCGTGTTTGCAGACGAGAAACGTGTCTGACTCGTTGGAGGACTATGGAGCAACCTGATTTTCATGAGGTCCGCCTGCTCCCGATTTAGTGGGTGGTCAGGGTAGCTAAATGAGAGCTCTGCTGTGTATGGCATCTTCGTGTGAGTCGCTGAAAGGCTCCCCACCAGCTGGGGAAGGTGGTTGCAATAGGGTGATTCCGATAGAAGACACTGCTTTCCGATAGTCACTTGCAGTAATAAATCCATACAGCCACGTGCAAATGGCACCTGCTTGGACCCAGTGCCACGTGCACTGCACAGTCATATGAGACATTTGCAAGTAGCCAAAAACAAAGATCGCCATGGTGATACTTGTCTGTGACATGAAAACAAGAAACCAGCCAATGTAGTAACTCTTGGGAAGCAAGTTGGCCATTGGAATGCTACGGATGGAGATCCAGTGCCAGTGGGGAGGGTCCTTTCATTAATGGCTTCCATTACTGAAAGGGAGAGCTCAGCTATTGTTCTTCTGTACATCTCTTAGTCTGTCACAAAGACCCCATGCTTCTACTACCCGGCCAAATAGAAAAGATTCTCTGTTTACAGAGAAAACACAAAGCATGTTTCTTCCCCATCATTATACAGGCTGGGGATCCTTAACCAAACTTTTCCACTCCAGTATCCAAGTTAAGACTATTGGTGACTTTTTGCATAAATGTAAACATTTCATAGGGAAAACTGTTCACAGGCTCATTCAAAGAGAATCAAATAAATAGTTTGGTGAGTTTCCATCTTGGAAGTAGAATGTTTATTTAAGAAACTCTAATAAAGCCCTCTTTCAAGCCCATAAAAGTTATAGTGAGAACTGAGTGGTGAGCTAAAGACTCAGGAAATAGTTATTGGTGTGCAAGAAAAAGAGAGAGGGAGAGAAAAGGCCAGCAAAGGAAACAACCTGATGAGAAACTTTTAGTAACGATTCTTATTTCCTTCAACTTTGAAAAAATGATTACACTGATTGTAGAATTTAAAACATTCTCACTACACAGTGGGCTCTTCTAAGCAGGAGGTGGGCGCCAGGGCATGGCGAGTAGGCAGGGCTGACACATTGGCAGTAGAACTCAGTGCAAAAGAGATTTTCATCGAGGCCCTGCAGAACAGTAAGGGAAAATCCGGAACCTCGTGCCCAGGGGACTGGGCGGAAACCAGGAAAAAATCTGTGCAGAACTGGCAAGAGAGATGCTGATGGAGAGAGAAGGTTGTGTCTCACAGGGATGCCAGAGGTGGAGCCTTTTATGGGGTACACAGAAACAAGCACGTAGCAGGGAGAGCAGTGAAAGAAGCCAGACTAGTTTGGACATCAGTCTGCCTCTTCATTTGCTCTTCAGAGCCTCCATAGACAAGAAATCAGAGCACAGCAAGTGAAACATGATACAAGAAAGCACTCAGAGAAATGCATGCAGTTGGGTACAAAAGACAGCCAAAAGTTCTGTGCAGAAGAACCAGGGCCATGTGCAGATGGTGCTGCGGTTAAGTGACAACGCTGGACGAGAACCCGGAAGTAAACATACAAGTGCCTTAGCTCTGAAGTCACTACACTGGAGACCAAAGGCTCTAAATGATTGAGAAGAAAGGAGGTTGGCCAGATGCCAGTAATGACATTTAGCAAACACTGCCTACCTTACACTTATAATTGTTCTATGTGAATAGAACCTTAATCAGTCATGCATGGGGTTGTCTAATAAGCATACTCAGAACTATATCTTTTGATTTAGCAGTGGTATTGGCCCTAGGGAAGTTTAGTTAGATCCACCATCCCCAGTGGAATAGTAGTCACTGTTGTGATTTCTGTTGTGTGGCTTGGTTTACCCACAAGCTGCACGGTCAGAGAGGGAAATGTCCTACTGAATGAGGCTCTTATTCCTGTTGACAGTCACCTTGCCTACTGGTAGATGCCACTCCCTGGTGTCTTCAGGCACAGCCAACGAGATGCACAATTTCCCTTTTGGGCATGAGTTGGAACATGGTGGAAAGTGAACCAAGAGACCAGAAAGCTCCGCCTTATGTGTCTGCCTTGATGGGTTATTAAAGATGAAGTCAGTGACTCTCCATCTTGGCCACACATAAGAATCTCCTGGAGATTTATGCAGTCTAGTACCCAGACAGTACCCCAGATGAAAAAAATCAGAAATCCTCAGGGTGGACTCCAGCAGTGGTGTGTGTGTGTGTGCGCGCGCAAGTGCTCACTCATTCCAACACCCTAGGTAGTTCCTTTTGAGAAGAACTGAATTGAGACTGTGCTGGTGCCTGGCGTACATTTGGTGCAAAAGGAGTGTGAGTGTTGTCCTCTCTGAATTGCTTCCTGCTGGCCCTCACTCCAAGCCCGTCCCTGTTCCGAACGTGCACAGGACTTGAACAAGGTCCCCGTTGTGTCTGTCTCAGTCTTCAACACTCCTCACACTGTGGCTCTGCCTCAGAGTTGGAGAATTCAATGACGTAATGCCGAAAAAGCCAGAACTCTTCTCACTCATCATTTGTTTCATCCCTTCGTCTTCCAAGTTACTTACTGCTGTCACCTATACAGGTGAAAGATTTAGATCCCCAGAATCCCCGGATTTAGGGAGAATTCTGACTTCTTTGTCCCCAGGAATTTAATTTGGCCAAACCTTTTTTTTTTTTTTTTTTTTTTAATTTTTAGCACTTCAGAAGGATCAGGGTGGAAATAAAGTTTAAGAAATAAAGGATCTACGCCTCAGTGAAATAAATAAGTCACACATATGTAAATACCGAATAGTTTCTCTGGTGTGAATAAACTAATAATACATAAGATCCTAATGAGATAATTGACAATGTGAAATAGGAAGAAAGGGGCTAAAGGTGTAGGAAAAGTGGGAGGGGTAGGAGAAAGGTAATAAGGGAAAGAAAAAATAGGAGAAAGTGGAAATAAAATGTTTGTAAAGGGAGAGGGGAAGAGGGGGTGAAGGGAGGGCAGGGACAAGGGGAAAAAATGAGAACCAAGACCTGTCATGTAAAGGTACAAGATCCCAATGATGAACATAACTGTACTGTATACCTAAAATGTACCAATAAACTCAAGAAAAAAAATTTCAAAAAAAATTTCAAAAGAAATAAAGGAGCATCCTAAAAATAGAATAGAGCTCATTCATTTCTGTTTAAAAGGTCTTCCTATTTTCCAAGCATTTTCAAGCTCCTAAACATTTTTAATCAGCTCACTTCTGAGCCTTATTAAAAAAATAAATAAATTATACTTGTTTTCATTAAAGGAAGGGATCTTTTTCCATTTTTACGGACATTGTTGAAAGGGTCAAAAAGGAGTCCAAAACTCAGCAAAGGAGCACATTATTAGTGACATATTGGCCGCAGATGTGCTGGTAAAGCCACATTTTTTTTCCTCCAATTAGTATTTTAAGTGCCCGCAAATTACCTATGAAAGGCCAAATAACTTCCTCACAAAACGGAAGGAGGAAAAATTTTACTTTGAAGGTATTCTAAACAAGCTGTTGTAAGTGGGGGCAAAGTGACAACATGTCCATTTGCTGTTCTTTTACAGTAGTGCTATGTAGATGATGCCACCATTATTTTCAATTCCAAGTGTGTTAAGCAAGTGAAACTACATGTAGATAGTCTTTGGTCATACCTGTGAGTGATAATTTCCTTTCTATAACAATTTTTAAGAAAACCAGGAAAGCAAAATCCCAGAGGCAAGAGGGAAACTAAGAATCTTCACGGCTCCAATCTGGAGGCCTTTGAGACAGGTTGGGAATAGTGGCCAAACTTTTGTTCAGTTGCAGGCAGTCCTCGGAGTTGTGTAAGGAGAATCTTCATAAGCCAACTCTGGAAACAAGGTTACGATTCACCAGGAAGGAAATGGTGCCAGCACCAGGGTGCCCATCGAGGTCTGAGTGGTAGACGAATGCGATTCCAGATTCCAGGCCACGGCTATAAGGAGGTGATGGAAGGGAACAGAATGCTGTAAAGGAGAAAGGATGAAGAAATAGGTTTGACAGACACAGAAGTGATGACAGGCTAAATCTGTATTATAAGACTTCTTGAGAATATTTTACTCACCTTGATGAGCAAACTATGTAGGAGAATAACTCCTAGAGAATGGCAGATGCCTCCATTTTCAACATAAGTTGATGAGCTAACCAGTTTGCAGTGTCGTGTAAATTAAAAGTGACAAGAAGTCAAACACAAGGATTAGTGTGTTGCCTATGTAAGAAAATTAGTTATGACTAAAAAAAAAAGGATGTGGCCTGGCTTCCTGATACATAGATAGAAAGTTATCTATTTGCATTTTGATTCAGTAAGAGTGTGCATTCTAAGATGATCCATTGTCCTGATTAAAGTGACAGGCAGCTTTACATCCGAAGCTCGTAATGTACTTTTTAGCCCCAATGCTATTTGAGACACTGTCAAGGGAATGTCAGTGTTTGATGCTAATCCAGTGCTGTCTGGTAGCTTGTGTGTTATTCGGTTTTATAAGTTAAAGACATCCTACTACACAATTTTAAAAATAAGCCTGTAGGGAAGGCTTCAAATTCTTTCCCTTCTCAACGGGACCCAGTTTTCTTGCTTTTCATTTCCCTAGGAAAGTGACAATTTTGGAGGACCCTGATCAGAACATTCACCTGAAAAACCTGTCTCTTCATCAGGCAATGACAGAAGAAGAAGCTCTGAATTTGCTGTTCCTGGGAGACACCAACAGAATGATTGCAGAGGTGAAAAAACTTCTCTCTGCACACTCTTTTTCTAGTATTAAGAGATAGAATGGTAAACACGACCTCACCCAAATCTCACATTGCAGATAAACAAAACAAGATCCAGAGAAGTGAGGAGACTTTGCTAAGGCTCCCTCGCTAGTTAATGAGCAGGGACTGAAATCTAGACTCCTGGATTGTCAGCTGCTTTTTCCACTTTACTCTGTTGTGTGCCTTTTAGTTTTCATTTTTATATTTTTAATTTTTTTATAGATTGGTTTGCAGCTAATCCATGATAACCTATAAAACATCTTAATTATAGCAAGTTTTGTGTATTTTGCAAAGTTTAAAAACATATAGTTGATTCTTCCTAACCACATATTGTCCATATAGTTTCATTTAGTTAGTGAATTAATATTGGTAAAGCATTTCAAAACAACGCATTAAACACAGGAATTAGTGGGTTGGCATATCTGGGAACGCTACCATGGTATGTAGTAAAAGTGTATTTCCATGCAGTATTTTGGGCACCTTTATTTCAAAAAGCATTCACTATTTGACATTCAACTTAACTGAGTCCATTTCTTTTATTTGGGACCCTTAAGAGCTGGCGTTAACCCAGTGTGGTCAGCAGCCACGTCTTAATGAGTTACCGATCAGAGAAGGAGGGAGCAGACTGCTTTCTTCAGTGACGCTTTCTTTTTAAAACATGCTTCCCAAGCACCATACTTTACCTTCTCTCTGATGCCAAGTGAGGATGGCAGAGGCTAAGAGAGAATAAGCAGCCCCAGAACAGCTTGCATCCATCCACCAAGTGAGCCTCTTTTGCTCCATTCTTCCCTCTGAAGTGCGCTGCCTTTGATGCAGAAAGATAAAGGGAAGCCAGATCCAGATAGTGAAACCAAGGTGTTGATTAGGCCCTTAGTTTTGTTGTTGTTTACTAATTTAATACTTTCTAGTACATTGACAAACTTATATAGGTAATGTGCCACATGTAACATTGACTTCAGTACTCAAATTTTTTCATTTGAAAAATGTTTACATAGTTTTAACTTCAGGATATCTTGTTTTGTTTTATAATATTTTGTGTTTGTGCTCAGCCCTTCGGTGTTTTACCCATGTGATCATCTGTGATGATGTTGTTTGTTAAAATAAGTGAAGATTAAAAAATGAAGCAGAGGGCCAGGGATTTGGCTCAGTGGTCCCGCTGCCTGCCTCTTAAGTGGAAGGTGTGGAAGATCCTGAGTTTGATGCCTGGTACCAAAAAAAAAAAAAAAAAAAAGAACCAGATTAAGAATGAGGGCATCTAATGACGAAGGACTTAGCAGGCCCCGCTAAATCCTCTTCCTCTGTACACACTTAATAAATGGCAAACCAAGAGGTTTCGAATATAGAGGGATAAGAAAAAGAGCAAAGATGGCTTCATAAAGGCTACTGGGAACCAAGTGGAAGAACCTATCCCTGACTCAGTGCCAGCCTTTCTCCGGAGGTGATTCATCGGTCCAAAAGTAAAGGCCTTGTCCTGTTCACCTGTGACAGGCCCTGACCCCATTCCATTATGACCTCCAGTAGCATTCAGTTATGCATTCAGTTTAGCTGATGGAATACAGTATCTCCACCCTGATTTGTGGAGTTCTGAGGGACTTCCTTTGTGAAACTCACCTGTCATATCTTCCACCTTACAGAATCCCAAGTCTTTTCCTCTTACTGATGAATGTGTCTTATATTAATAATATCAGTTAAAAAGAAATCTAAGGAAGTCCAATCCTAACCGTACTGGTTGTGCATTAATTTTTGTTTAATTTATAGATTTTTCCTGTCTGGAGTCTGATATTTTGAAACCATGTCTAATAGTTGGGGTGTTTCAGTGCCTGCTTTTATTTTTCCTTTGGTAATAAGAGCTGCCATGTTATACTGAGAAACTGTTCAGTAGACAGCATTGTTGCACATGCTCACTATATTTTATTCCTGATTCTTACTTTATAGATGAAACTGAGGCTGAAAGAGTTATGTTTCTTCTCCAGACTAACCAAGTAGTAAGCGGAGTCAGGGCTCAGCTCCACACCCAGCAGAGTGAGAAATTTACATTCTTTCTTTATTGTATGAGCACAGGAATCAAATCGAGATATGTCAGATATTTCAAATGAGGATATATTTATGAGTTATTTAAAATAGGTACCAAGTATTTAGCCTTTTCATTTATCTCTTGAATCCAATGAAAGAAAATGCACGTACATTAAAAATACAAGTGAAGGGTAACCATCAACCCCTGGAAATTCTTTATTATTTGCAGTCTCTAAAAAGCCATGTTTTGGATTACAGCCTAGCTGTCAGAATGTAATTTGTCAGTACAGAACGAGCTTAACAGGATAAAGAGAACACACTAATCATTTCTTGAAAAAAAAAAAAACTAAGTTCCCAATTTCCCATTTACACAGAGAAATCCAGAGGTTTCCATGGTAACCAGAAAACATTTACAAAACAGAGCCTGAATCTCTTGGACACAAAGTAGAGGGCCCTTTCCTTTCTTGCTCTTTACTCCTAGCCAGCATTTTAAGGAAAAGTTATTAAGAGTACCCTCATCCTCTTCTTATTTATTCAGAACTCTTGAATAATTTCGGCAGTCTTACCAATGTTTTGAATATAATCTGACTATGTCCTTAGGGTAGTTTCTTTTTAAAGTTGAATTGCCAGAGAATAAATGTTAGAAAAATTGAACTGTGCATGACCCTGCCTCATGGCCCACCAGTAGCCAGTATGACTTGATATTTTTGTGTCTTATACTTGAAATATTTATACCAATTAATCAAATCTAATTGAAGACAGTCTGGTGTTTTGTTATGTTTTGTCTTGCAGTACAGGGGATTGGAGCCAGGACCTTCACACTAAGCTACATCCTTAATCCTTTCAATTTTTCTTCAAATTTTGAGATGGTTGCTAAATTGCCCAGGCTGGGCCCTAAATTATGATCCTCCCAACTCAGCCTCCCAGAGTGCTGGGATTATAGGTGTGATGTTCTGCGTGTGGTTGTCAGCTCCAGAGCTAGGACTGTTTGCAGTTGTCCCTACCTTGAAGGCTCAGCCCCTCGCAGGATCTACAGCTCTCTTCACAAGTGTAGTTCCAGGATAACCTGCATTACAGTACCCTGTGGTGGTTAAAAGATGCACCTTCTCCAATCCCATTTCTGGTGGGTGGATTCAGGATCTTCAGAGGAGCCCAGAAATGTGCACTAAAATGCACCCCAACAGATTGGGCTTCGCGTTAGGAAAGCTAGATGAAATCCACTCCCAGAGAGTTATGTGAGCAGGTCCATATTCTACCATTTTGTCAATATCACAAAATGTGAAAGGGAAAACAGAAAGAAAATCCCATTTTAATTTGCAGTTTTGATCACCAAATTCCTGATTATCTTTACTGACCATCCACACATCTGTTTTTGTTCACTGTTCTGTTTTTGCCTGGACAGTTGGGATATGTTTGCTTGTTTCGTACTCCATGAGGCCTGGAGCTCTGTCTTGTGCACCTAGAGACAGACCTGGACCAGTCCTTCCATAAGTGGCTGTTGAATGAATCCACAATAAGGATAACTTTTTGCCACATCTTTAGCACTCCCTTTCTCATTTTATAGATTTTTCTCTTAGTTTGGTTCCTTTTTAAAAAAATATAGCCAAATCAATCTTTTTATTTTGTTTTCTGTTTTTGGTATTATGCTTAGAAAGTCAGGAGTTTCACAGATGAATAATTCTAACTATTAGAAGGGGGTTGTTGCTTTGTGTTGAATTTGGTGCCCAGCCATCTGCCTCACTGTTCCCATTTGGGCCTGGGACATGGAAAAAGCTGGTCATCATCATGTTGGAATAGTTCCTTTATGTATTACTTATTATAAATTAACAAGTTACAGCCATATGTATTTATAGGGCACAAATAATGTGATGAGTCATAAATGTAACGGGGTTAATGAAAGTAAGCTCATTAACATAATCTTGTATCTTTTGTTTTGTAGTAGGGAGTGGACCTCAGAGGGTTTTGGAGCACAGGGATTTTACCTGAAATTTGAAAGAAAGCCACGCTAAAGTAACATAATCAGGGTTTCTATTGACTCTTCCTGCCAGAAATAGCTTCCATTGATGAAAAGTGTCATTTAAGTATTTATTTTAAGGAGTCATAATTCTGCTCAAAGTGAATCATTAGACCAGCAGGGGACTCTTTTGAGAGGCACTCTAGGAAAGAGAGTGATATCTAGGGTCCTTTCTACCCAAACCTCACAGTAGCATCTGTTATGGTTAAATTGTGCCAACCCCTATAACAAATCCATGTTGAAGTCTTAACTCCCAGACCTTGTTGGGTCACAGTCTTCACAGGTGTCCAAGTTAGAATGAGGTCATCAGGGTGGACCCAGAAGACTGGGGAACTGTGGAGACACATGCAAACTGAGGGAGACTCTGTGTGCACCTGAAAGTGGTCACCTGCAAGCCTAGGACAGAGGCTTGGAACACACCCTCTCTCAGAGCCCTAAGGCAGAGCCAGCCCCACCAGCCCCTTAATTTCAGACTTCTGGCCTTCCTCACTGACTGTGAGGTCATAAATTTCTGTTGTAGGCACTGCCCATCTATGGAACTGTGTTCCAGCCTTCCTAGCAAACAAAGTCAGGGTCTAAATGAGCCGTGCATAATTTCTTGTTTAGTTGGTACTTGGGGTAGCTCTTGACTGTGATGGATTTGGGAACAAGAATATGCTGTATCCACCCTACATTTGTTGGGAAACTGCCCAAAGGGGAACTGTGACAAACCCTGTGCTGACACTGGGAGAGTCCATAGATGGCCTCCTTTCTTCCCATCTAACCCTTCCCAGTGACTTTGGAGAGAATCCCTTCCGTCAGGGTTGGTGCCCACCCTGTGATTTCTTCACCACACTGCCACCCAACCCTGCCAAGTAGTGGGCTTTGGAACCTGGTGTCTAACTCTCGGTTCCATTTCTTACCAAGCATATATCCTCAGACAAGTCCTAACTGGGCCAAACCA